CTGGGCACAACCATGAGCGGCTGGGCTGGTGAGTGGGTGTTTGGGTGGGAGGGAAGTGGATCGAGGCCGAGGTTTGAGCGCCCATGTGTGGCGACGCTGGGGAAGGGGCAACGAGGTGCCAGGACCCAGGTCCCTGCAGGCTAGGTAATGGTCCAAGACCTGGGACCCTGACCGGCCTGTCTTCTCATCAGGTGCGGGATGGACAAGAGGGACAAGGCCAGGGCAGGGGCCGCTGCGCGGACGACGGCTTCTCGCCCTCTGGGCCTTCGGAAAACCCCCAGGCCCCCAGCGTCTCCTCGACCTCCTCCCCCAGTAATCCCCGCAGCCCTCAAAGTTCTGGGAGCAGCGGGAGCTGCAGGGCGAGGGCCCCTGGCGGAGCGAGCAGGGGGCATCCGGGCAGCAGCTCTTCCCGAAGCTGCTCCCCAAGTGGAACCCACGCGGAGCATCGGGACAGGCCCGGGCAACCCAGGTATCCCGGCCTCTTTCCCTGATTTCGACCCCAGCTCCCTGTTCCCCTTTCCTTCTGAGGTACCAGACTTCCCCTGCTTTCCGGGGCACGGCGTTGACTAGGCCTTCTCCTGGCAGCCACCAGGCCCCCAGCGGCTGGGAGAGGGGAGCGGACCCCTGCCAAGACCCCTGGCCCAGGCTCTATCTCTAGCCCTGGACGTGCCAGCGGGACCACCAGGTAACCCCCCTCCCCCATTACCTCCCTAGGCAAGGGCTAGTGTCACTCTCTGGAATCATTTTACATATGAATTGGGTCCTGGGAACACTTGCAGATCACAGGGTGCAAACTGGGTGAAAACCATTCTAAGGCAGCAGAGGGCCCATAAGTCCCATTCCACAGACGCCAAAGGAAATGTGAACTTTGGAGGTTAAACAAGGAATGCAAGATGGGCACGGCCCTGAGCATACCCCCCCTCCCCCAGGCTAGGCCCTCTTGGCCAGAAAGGGCTCCGGCCCCCAGCTGAGGAACCTATGGGCAGAGGAAAAACCCCAGACGCTCCCAGAACGAGCGTCCTGAGTGTGGGGACACGGAGAGGTACGGTGGCCTGGGAAGGAGTGGGACTCCTGGGCAGTGAGGGGGACCAGCCTATAAGTATCCATGACTCTTTGGCCTTCTGCTTTGTCCCTAGACTCTTCTGGTCCCAGCCCAGGCGCCCCTTCCCCAACCATCTCTCATCGGTCTCGGGGTGCGGGTGCTGAGGTGGGGCTCCCCCGGACAGCTTCGAATGCCCGGCCCCGACCCCTGACCACAGCCCCCAGGAAATCAGTGAGCAGTACCCCGGACCGCAGCCCCGCGGAGCCGAGCCCCGCTGCCAGGAGGCGACCCAGCTCCTGCGGGGGCCTCCAGAGGCCAGCCCCGCGCCCCCTGGGCTCCAGCGCCACTCCCTTGTCCTCCCCGGCCCGCTCTCGGGCCTCCCTGGGTGCAACGCCCCGGGCTCTGGGGCACCTCTCACAGGCCAAGCCGAAAGGACTGCAGGCTCTGCGCCCCCCGCAGGCCGCACCCCCAAAGAAGGGCGCAGCCACTCAGCAGAGCCTTTCTCCTCCTTTGGCCACATCATCTCCACCCTGTCAGACAACACAACTGGCACCGCCTACCCATATCACAGCTACTCCTCTGGGGGACGCGCCCCTCACCTCTCCACCGACCACGCCTTCTCCCGGGGCCCTAACGGGTCCTCTGGCCACGCCCTTCCCACTAGCCCCTCCTCCCTCTACTCCACTCTCCCCGCAGACACTCCAGTCTCCGCCAACCACACTCCCTTCCCCAGCTCCACCCACACACCTGGGTACATCTCTTCCGGAGGCACCCGCCTCTCCCACGTCTTTTCTGGCACCATTCCCTCCTTCAGGTTCACCCCCTCTGCAGAGTGCGTCGCCCACTCAGGTTTCTCCGGCTTTGCCCCCTCTTCCGACTCTCCCCTCTCCCTTGACCGCCCCTCCTTTGTCGGCTCCTCTGCCACCAGCCACGCCCCCTCTACAAGTCCCTCTTTCTCAAGCAGGGTCTCTGGGGAATTTACCCTCTCCGCTAGCCACAGTCCCTCTGCAGGACTTTTCTGCTCTGACCACGCCCCCTCCACTGGCCGGTCCTCTGTCTCCGCCCCATCTTCAGGCCACACCTCCTACGCCGAACCCTCTTCTAGCAATGTCCCCTCTGCAGGCTCTTCCTTCTTCGCTGGCCATGCCCTCAATGCAGACCCCACCTCTCGCCACGTCCCCTTTTCAGGCCACTCCCTCTCTGGTCCTGTCGCCTCTACAGGCTCGACCTTTCCTGGCCTCACCAGCTTTGCAAGCCCCTCCCTCTCCCCTGGCCACGACCCCTCCACAGAGTCCATCTTCTCTGGACACACTTTCTTTACAGGCCTCTCCCTCTTCTCAGACCCTGTCCCCTCTACAGGTCTCACTTTCTCTGGTCTCACCACCTCTGCAGGATACTCCCTCTCCGCCCATTCCTTCTTTCCTGGCTGTGGATCCAGTGCAAACCCAACCTCTGGCCTTGCCTCCTTTGCAAGAACCTCCCGCTCCCAGGGCCACGCCCCCTCCTCTGGCTCCACCTTCTCTGGCCTTGTCCCCTCTGCAGGCCCCTCCCTCTCCCCCTGCCTCACCTCCTCTTCAGACCCCACGTCGCCCCCCTACCCCGGGTCCCGATGTCCCGATCCCGGGCCCACGGCTGACCCTGGCGCTGGCCTCCGCCCCGCCGCCGCCGCCCTCGCGCAGCCCGTCCAGCACTCTGAGCGGCCCGGACCTGGCGGGCCACAGCAGCAGCGCCACAAGCACACCGGAGGAGCTGCGCGGCTACGACA